ATAGATATTTTCATTGTTAATTATCAGAGAAAATAATCAGCACTTTAATCGATTGGTTATTTGGTACACAAAATGTAAAAACATTCGTGGAGAGTGTTAATCAGTGTCAGAGCCCAGGATCATTCCATCCATTATCTATACACCGCTTAATCCTCACTAGGGTCACGGGGGGGCTGGAGTCTATCCCAGCTGACTTAGGGCGAAGGCAAGGGACACCCTGGACAGGTCGCCAGTCTATCGCAGGGCTACACTTAGAGACAGACAACCAAGCACACTCACATTCACACCTACGGACAATTTAGAATCACCAATTAACCTCAACATGTTTTTGGACTGTGTGGGAGGAAGCCACAGAACCTGGAGAGAACCCACGCTGCACGGGGAGAACATACAAACTCCACTCAGAAGATCTGCGGTGTCCTCACTGGGACGCGCACCGGTGACAGTGCTAACCACCAAGCCTCCTTGCAGCCCTCAAAGCCCAAGATGAAAACCTCAAATGTCTTGCTTTGTCCACCACCTGAAGATGCTCAGTATACTGTCATAAAGTAGTAAAGAAAGCAGAAAGTACTGAAATATAAAAAGATGAAGTCAGGACTTTTACTTTCTTAAAACATTACTCAAACCAATTAATCAATTATCAAAAGAGTTGGAGATTAATTGAGTGTTTGACAAGTTACTGAATACTCTCTGCACCTGGGGAGCGCGAGAAAACAGATATATATATATATATATAAGATTAATTTAGTGATTGACAAGTTACTGAATAATCGCTGTACCTGTGGAACGCAAGTAAACAGCTATATCTTATCATGGCAAAAAATAATTTTTTTTATAATAATATATATATATATTTAGTTATGTTTACATAAAATGATGCAAGTTTCGAAGAAGAGTACAAATCCAAACTGATGGTAATTACTTTAATAGTTGACAAAGTATTGAATATTCAATTAAACATTGCAGCTCAACAGTAAAATAATCACAATCACATGTTTTTTCATCATTCTATTTTTTTGGCATTTCAAAAAAAGGCGTAAATTAAATCTGTAAAAAAGGATGACAGAGAGTCTGACCAAGAATATTCTGGTAGATCAATTGTAGCAACTGGACTTGCTTCAGTTCTTTGAAGATGTTTCACCTCTCATCCAAGAGGCTTCATCAGTTCTGACTAGTAGACCAAGAATATGCTGCAAAACACATATCAGGACAAAAAGTATTGAGAGTCAATGCACATCGCTTCACTAATGTGACTTCATGTGTCTGTCATGACGAATCAAGTAACAGCACTGTGCACTCAGTCACCTTTCGAGAAGTTTATTTTCTTAAAAATTGCAAAAAGCAATTCATCTATTATCAAAACAGTTTGAGATTAATTTGGTAATTGACAACTAATTGATTATTTGCTGTATCTCTCGATGTCAACCAAAGGAGTGAACAGCTATAACTTTTATCAGGGCAAAAATTCTATTTTTTTTACAATAACAAAACAACATTTTTCAGCTTTGTTTAAAAAGAAAAACATTTTGCAAGTTTTTTAGAGGGCTTAAAACAGTTGACGATAAATGCATTAGTTAAGAACTAATCAATTAAACGTTTATTGTTGCAGCTCTACTGTCAAATTTGTCAATTTGTGCATTTAGTTCAACCCTAAAGTAGTTTTTAAGTTAAATTAGTGAAGCTTAAAAAACTATATTTTATATCAGGAAAAAATGACGACTCAGAGGATACTCCACAAGTATTCACATTCAATGCAAATCCTTCCACTAATGTGCATTCATGCGTCTGTCATAACGCATTAGTCACAGCACTGTGCGCTCACTGGCTCTGGAGAAGCAAAAGAACCGGTCTACTCAGTTTTTTGTTTGTTTGGTTTTTTTTTAAGAGCATTAAATCTATAGAATATTTAGGAGTCATCGTAGCCAAAGATGCTAGTAATAACTGCCAAAGTAATCTCTGTGTTCGGGTATTAGAAACATGATCGCCACATTTCTACGAGGACACAGAAGTTGTCAGGTCGCTCCACATCAATCTCTGCAGTGTTTTGGATCCAGGGTCTTCTCCAGTCTGACAGTCCGTTAGCACACGGACAGTGCAACCACCAAGTACTGCGACCTTGCCTTTAAACCAGCTGATTTATTAACATTATCTGAAAAACATTTAGGCGAGGTCATCCTCCTGCACCAGACCTCCTGTGATCCAGACAAGGCGGCAGAAAGCTGGGCTCCGTCACAAAACAACAATCAATGCATTTCAATGGCGAGATGATGTAGCAGCTAGTTGATACTGCAAAGATAATTAGCTAGCTTTGACATGTCAACCGTGCATATAATCTTGTCATGTAGCTGAGGCCCCGGTGTACCTTTATAAGAGGGTAATTACGAAGTTACGTACCTTTAGATATTTCCAGGAGTCTCAACAGTTATGCGGGCTGCTGCTTTCCTCGGATAGCTACCTGCTAGCTGGTGGCTAGTGAGTTAGCGCTGGTTTGTTGCTAACGACTAGCCGCCGATGAATTCCACAATGTCAGAGCAGTAAACGGGCGACCAGCGCGAAAGGAACCCGGAGACAAGTGGCGAGCAGGACCGCACTGAGCCGGGGAAGCTAACGAATTAACCACTCCTTCATTGGGGCTGCTGTGCATCCTGTTAGCGACAGATAAACATCCCATTTGATGATTTCTCAAACACTCTTCCCTCTCCCGCAGCCATCTTACTTTAACTCCTCCCACACGACTCCAGTGAGTCACAGCGACGCTGCTCCGCACCGCTGTATGAAGGGTTTAAAGTGCCAAAATTAAACAGAAAACACTCTGACCCACTTCTACACTAACTCTGATCAATGCTCACTGTGTACTTAATGCTCATATGGTTGAACTTTTAATAAAATAGAAAGCAATGAAAAGTGAACTCATAACTGTTGAGCATCCTCTTGGCCTTGGAGTTAGTTTAACAGAAGTCCACTTTAAGTCTGTCAGCTGGAGTCTTCCTTATACTGGTTTTTTAATGTCACTACTGACCTTAGCTTATCAATACATGGTTTATGTACATGTTACAGTTATATTGAAAAGCGAAAACAATGAGGATTTTTTATAGCTTTCCAGATAAGTGTTTTGCCGCTTACCATGAAGGCAAAGCTTAACTCTGCACCACTGTCTGCTCTGCTACATGTGCTGCAAACAGTACTGAGAGTATTGAAAACAACTCTACTGGACAAACTATGTGATGGTGCCATTTCTAAATCCCTCCAAGCATTTTCTTCAGTATTATGTTCTGTAAAAGAAATTTTTCATGTTGAGGTATAGCCTATCAGACAACATACACTTATATATCTGTGACAGGACAATCCTTGCCAGTAAACTAGTTTATAAGTAATAGACTTGCAATAAAAATTGAGAAAACACATGCAGATAAACAAAATACAACTAAATTAAGAGAAAAAAAAAGGAAAACACAGGTGTAGCCTTTATGAAACACAACCAAATACAGAAACAGGCTGCAAATAACACACATTGCAATGATAATGTTTCCTGGGTGTGTGAAAAACAATTGCTGGGACTCAAGTTACAGGAATCTGATAATGTGATGTACAATTGTTTGTTTTAAAGTTCCTCTGTAGTTATTCATTAAATGGCATAAAAAGTCATTATTAAATTTATGGAGTTATATATTTTTTTGGACAATAATTCATTCCTACTTTGAAATTTTCACAATGTATCTCTACAGCATTGCTTTCTCTAGGATGTGGAGATTTATGAGGTGTTTACACCTACTCCTCCCCCTGCGCCACCCACTAAAGCTCGAGCACACCAGCTCACCTACAACTCTACTCAAACACTTTAAAACTACTCTACACTTCACAGTGTTAATTTATAATACTGGAGTAATTCAGCCACACATGTTCGAACCAGAGAGCAGTTTTGAAGAACAATTACACAAAAAGCTCAACCCTGCACATTGACAGTTTTGTTATAAATCTGAGTCAGTGATTTTGAGGCTGTCATCTGCAGTTTCAAGACAGAAATACTCACTGTGCTGAGTGCTTGTTTTGCTCATGATGTGTCTTCTAGCGTCTCAAAAACAACATATGGGTCATGAGCAAGGACAAAAACTTGTTTATCACCAGAGGCAATCTTTAATATTCTTTTCATGAGTCACAAACGAGTGTTGTGCTCTCAAGGTCACCACATTTGTGGCTCTTTCACATGATCTTCATCAGTTTCTTCTGGTTGTCATGGTGACTGGTATGTTAACCTGACCTCAGTGGCGATCCAGGTCTCACTCATATGACTTTGCTCATCTTGGGCCAACCAGAAGACATTTGCATTTATTGACCTCTACATGAAAAGGCACCAGTGCAACACTAAATGTACTTTAAGGTCTTTAATTAAACACTCAAAGAATGTCAGAAACAGATTTAACTTGCATGTAAATGACATTCATGTCTATGAATCGGACTCTGACGTATCTGAACACTGACTTCACAGATTTATCAGGAAATTGTGTACAGATCTTTATTTTTGAATAATTGTGTGTGAGCATGTGAAGCATTTTTATGTTACATTTCAGCTTTTTTAATGTTACTTTAATATTTTGCTTTTCTATTTGCCATTTAAGGATGTACATCATTTAAGTATCAACAGTCATGTCCCTCAGTTTCAGTTTTCTTTTTAAATGTGGAGGGAGATGTTTTTTGGCAATACTTTTATACTTCAGTCTTTGTTTGTTGTGCCTAACATCGTCTCAGATGTGCAGAGAACGACCTCTGTGGTTTTCTAGGGGAGGGAAGAATTTCCCAGAGGACACATGACATCTGTTGTTGTTTTCTTCCATAGAGACCAGCATCACCAGGCAGAGCTCAGGTAGACCTGTTTTGTTGTCAGGTGGACTTTGCAGTGGTGCCTAATGTGAATGTGCACCTCTCAGGCATAAACAAACACTTGATCAAGAGCAAAAGAAATGCTCGCTTAAACAGGTATTTTACAGGCTAAACGTTGTTGAATGGATAAAACAGGCGAAGTTAGTATCAGAAGTAACCAGTGGCAGAGAGTGCTCCGGTGGCATCTGGGGCAGAAAGCGAATGAGGAAGGAGAAGATGGTGTCAAGGATGAAGGGAACACCTACCTGGGCCTGAAGCTCAAAGTTAAGTAAGTGTTTAATTATTGCTAACGTATAGTGGTAACATAAGGTGACTAGATTTACATATTTTTTAGGTTTCGTAGCTTCTCAATTGTGGTAAGTAACGGGCCTCTTGAATCAGAGAGTATACAGCTAAATTACAGATAATGTAGTCTTTATTGACGACAAGATATTCTTGGATCTTATTTTGTATTATAAAAATCATTTGTCATATCATATTATCCTTAAGTCCTTACAAACACTCAGCAATGGGCAGAATTGACAAGATTATATAAATCACAATTTACATGATGGATGTGATTGAATAATTTCAGCCACACTCATTGTAAAAGAACATAACTATTGGTAAAAATATAGATTTTTATGTGGACATTCTTTTTATTTATTTTTTACAGTCAGTACATATATTGTTACTTTTTGTGTAATTTTACTGGTATTATTTTTTATCTTTATTATCTTAATACACAGGGTGAATCTGTAAAATAACAGTTTTCTAATCCTATAGACATAATTTTCTTTCAAATTACAGCAAATATCCATAAAATAGTGGTATTTTCCCTGATTTAAATACTGGCAAAAAATATGTTAATACTTGTTTTTTTTGTTGTTGTTTTTTTAAAATATGTATTGTGTGTAATTTAACAAAACAGAAAAAATAACAGTAAATTGTAAATTGTAATTGTAATTAATACAGTGTACAGTATACAACAAATGCTACGACTTTCAAAAATGACTTTTAATTTCAAAGAGAAAATGTCAAGATTTTAGCATCGTGTAACTTATTAAGTGAGAAATGAGAGCCATAAAACATAATCACTGTGTGATCGTTTTCTCATATTTGAGTTATCAAGTTGTAATTTCTAATTTCCCTGCTTCTTCTCTTCATCATCATCATTTCTCCCGCAGCTGGAAGGAGTTGGTGGTTGATCCGGCAGAACAGTTTTATTATGTGTGGCTGCAGGTCATGATACTGCCCATTGTTTACAACTGGGTTATTATCATTTTAAGGTAAACTTAAATCATTTTAAGCACATGGCTTGTAGTGATTTGGCACGATTTAAACCTTATTGTGTATATTTTGGCAGGACATGCTTCACTGCAATTGCACTGAACTACCTTCCTGTGTGGCTCACGCTGGACTATCTGTCAGACCTCATGTATATCACTGATATGATCATCACGCTTCACACCGGTAAATATGTTTAGTTTCTGTTGGTTATAATCCCGTCTTAAGATTTATTTTTTTGTCACGTACACAGCACATACATATACCATAAATGCAGTAAATGTAAAAGAACACAATATCACAGGAACAAAAAAATGAAGAAGCACTTGGAACATCACAAATGATACAAAAAATGTATGTCGTATACTTACACCACTGTGGTCAAACTTACAACCAACTACCAAGCTGTATTTTAAAAGGGACACTTACTGCCGTGTGTCAATTCTCAGAAAGAACAATTTTCATAATTATAAGGGCACAAATCATAAACTTAAGTAATGCTCAGTGAACACATGACTCAAGATGACTTGATGTGTGAATTAATGCAGGATGTGTCATTAATTTCTGTTGCTCAACATTAACAAATGATCACGACTTAAATAATTAGTTCACACTTAATAGGTCTTCATTTAAGAGATGTTGACTTACAATTACTTCATACATGAAGTGATATGCAATCACCTTAGCTGAATTTCAGTTACACACAAGTTTATTTATGTAATTATATTATGTAAATGTTTGCATCTGATGACCAGTTTAGTTTTTAAGAAAATAGCAGCTTCATAATTCTATGCGATCTCTAATTTTGTGTTCTGCTTTCAGAGAGGCTGAGGTATTACATGGGTCTGAAATAAAGTTTGATAACATTAGCATTCCTTAAATAATCATTTATTATGTTTGAACTAATCACAAAAAGTGTCTTGAACATTTTTTAATGGTGAGTCACAGGAATTCACAATACATTCTGCATTAATTCATGCATGAAATCATCACGAGACACGCACGAGTTAGGCATATTCATGATTTATGCATTTATTTTAACACTGATGGATAATAAAAAATGCTTTTTAATTACAGTGACACATCCGTATTGCCTGTTCTTATGGGATCTGTATAATGGTTCTGAGAAGTAATTAGAACACCAACATTATTAACAGGCTCTGTGGTGTCTAATAATGTTTAAGCACCTTAACCAGTTACAAAAATGTATATATATACAATTATTTTACCATCCATTGTGCAACAGGAATCACCTTTATTTATATGCACAGACATAGGAGTTGACAATGTTGCATTGATGCTGTATTTATACAAATATCCAAAATGCAAGTCAGGCTGGGAAACCTAGAGTTTCCTAAATCCTCCTGTACAATGTGTATATATATATATAAAATTGCAGAGGGATTTCATAAAAATCCATGGCTATCATGTCATATCTGCTACACACCAGTGTTTTACCCTTCACATAAACAGTTCTGCAACCAAGGAAGCGCCTCTGAATTTTCAAGTGATCCAAACACTTGTAATCTTAAACATGGCAATTTTTTCCATTGCTGCCTTCAATTTATGACGTGAAAGTGTCAACTCCTGTATCTTATCATGGAAAATGTACACACTGCAAAAAAGGATTTTTAAGAAAGCAAAAAAAAGTCTTGTTTCTGGGAAATTGTTCTTGTTTTTTGTCTAAAAAGTAAAATAATCTTGACAAGCAAGTTTTTGCTTAAGAAAGTTTGTCTAATTTGAAGACAATATATCTAACTTTTTCTTAATAAGATTTTACAGCTAATATTGAGCTAGAATTACTAGTAACAAGCAACAATGTGGTGGTTCAAATGGTTCACATTAAATCCCAGCAGAGGAACAAGATTGTTTTTCTTATTTTAGGAGAAAGACAAATTGCTAAAGTTCTCAATTTAAGAAACTACACCAATTATAGTTTGAATTCATCTGTTTGCTGCTGGATTTTTTTTTGACACTGGCAACTAGAATGTTGCTCAATTATTGTTATGCTGTTAGAATAGGATTAGGGCTTGTGCACTTTTTGACAGTTGCAATGTTGTATATTGTTAAAATATGGAATATATTCTGGTATACTCACTTTAGACAGTAAAAATGTTACACAGTTCTATGTTAAAGTAGTTGGAAAATGCACTTCTTGAGAGTGGCAGGATTTATTTTGCCATTATTTGACTTGAGTGATGTCAAACTTCCAGCTGTCCTGAATGGCTTTAATGAAAAAATGAAGAATGCTTTTTTTAAAAATCCTTTTTGAAGAAATTGTGTCTTGTACTAAGCTACTTTTAGCTTATTATTATTCTTATTGTTGAGGTCTAATTTCTCAACGCCAGTTTAATAAAGAATAAAAACTTTCATGTGCCCCTATAGCTCACCTGGTTGAGCGGGCGACACATGAACAGGGGATGTAGTTCCTCAGCGTGGTGGTCGTGAGTTCGCTTCCCGCTCACAACAGTCTGCTGCAAAGTCTCTCCCTATTCTTCTCACTGTCCTGATTAATAAAGACAAAAATGCCAGAAAAAAAAGGTTAAAAATGTTCTGTTTTAAGAAAATCCATCTCATTGTAAGCTTTTTTTCCCCCCTAACTGGAAACTTTAATTAAGGTGTAAATTCTTAATTTAAGTAAAACAGTCTGAAAGTCAGTTTAATCAAGAAATCAGAACACTTATTTTAAGAAAATATTTCTTAAATAACAGAGTTTCTTTGCTTGTATCAGGCAAACATTTCTTACATTTTAGCGTATTTTTTCTAGGTTTAAGACACATTATGGTCTTAAAGTGGCCAGATATATAGGCTAGTTTTAAGAATTCTAGCCAAGTACATTTTGCTTATCCCATTGGCAGAGTTTTTTGCTTAAAACAAGAAAATTTGACCAGATTTAAGAATATTTGGCTTATTTCAAGTAGGGCTGTTTTTGCAGTGCATGAAGTGCGCTTTGGGCGTTGTCAAATCTGGTTCTTCCTTTTTCAGGTTACTTGGATCAGGGCATCCTGATCAAGGACCTGACTCAATTGAGGAAGCGCTACCTGCACTCGAAGCATTTCCTTAGGGACCTGGCGTCGCTCCTGCCCACTGACTTCCTCTACTTTGCCTTTGGCATTGAAACTCCTCTGGTGAGGATCAACCGCCTTCTGAGACTGCCCCGACTCAATGAGGCCTTGGATCGCATGGAGACGAGGACCTCCTACCCCAACACCTTTCGCATCTCCAAGCTCATGATCTACATCTTTGTGTTGATCCACTGGAACGCCTGCCTCTACTTTGCTCTGTCCAACTACATTGGCTTTGGAAGCGATCGCTGGGTTTACCCCAATGTCACCAACGCACAGTTTGCCTCCATGCGGCGTCAGTACTTTTACTGCTTCTGGTTCTCTGCCCAGATTTTCACCACGGTTGGAGACACCCCTCTGCCGAGTAGGGAAGAGGAGTATCTGTTCATGATTGCGGACCTCCTCATTGCTGTGCTGGTGTTTGCATCAATCGTTGGCAATGTTGGCAATGTCATCACAAGCCTGAGGGATCGTGATAATGTCTTCTTCCCCAACCATGAGCTGGTAAGCTGTAAGATTGTCAGACAGTAGAAAGGTTTTCTAGAAAATTAAGTTCTTCTCTTCTTCTTCCAGGTGAAGGCCTACCTGCGCAGCCATCACATTAGCAAAGAGCTTCGTCAGCGCATTGACAACTGGTACCAGCATCTACACATCAACAAGAAGATCATGCGAGAGAATGAGATTCTGCAGCAGCTGCCGGTTCACATGAGGACAGAGATCGCTGTCAGCGTTCATCTTCCCACGCTCTCCAAAGTCACCATCTTCCAAAGCTGTGAGAAGAGTCTGCTGGAGGAGCTGGTTCTTAAACTAACACCTCAGGTCAGGGGAAAAGAGACGGCAGCTGAGCAATAGTTAGGTCATGGAGTTAAGAAAGGAATTAAGACTGAGCAAAACGCACGGGGATGCATTGGTGGGGGTGTTTAGGCCTACAGCTACAAGAACCAGTGAGGAAATGAAGTATAATCCACAACTGTCTTATTCCAAAGAACTGTGAATTGTGAAGAAGATGAGACACTACAAAATCCATCCATCCATCCATTATCTATACACCGCTTAATCCTCACTCGGCTACTCGGCTACACTTAGAGACAGACAACCAAGCACACTCACATTCACACCTATGGACAATTTAGAATCACCAATTAACCTCAACATGTTTTTGGACTGTGTGGGAGGAAGCCGGAGAAACCTATGCTGCACGGGGAGAACATGCAAACGCCACACAGAAAGATTCCGGTGCCCCCACTGGAATGCATATCGGCAACCTTCTTGCTGCGAGGCAACAGTGCTACCAACTGCGCCACCTTGCAGCCTGACACTACAAAATTTTAAAAAAATTTAAAAAAATTGGTCACAGAGATTTTGAGATATTTGATTTTAGAAAAACATCCAAAATGGAAGTATGAAATTTTACAATACAAATCTTTAAATGCTATTTTGAATGGGTTTTTACGGAGTGCTTTGTTCATATATCACTGATAGCCTGATTTGTGGAACAGTTTACTCCTACAAACACGGTGAAAATGGATTTGTATGTACTGATCTGTAACGGGGGCTGCAAGGTGGCTCACTGGTTAGCACCGTTGCCTCGCAGCAAGAAGATCGCCGGTTTGTGTCCCAGGATCTTTCTGCGTGGGGTTTGCATGTTCTCCCAGTGCATCTCTCTGGGTTCTCCGGCTTCCTCCCACAGTCCAAAAACATGTTGAGGTTAATTGGTGATTCTAAGTTGTCCGTAGGTGTGAATGTGAGTGTGCTTGGTTGTCTGTCTCTAAGTGTAGCCCTGTGATAGACTGGTGACCTGTCCAGGGTGTCCCCTGCCTTTGCCCTAAGTCAGCTGGGATAGACTCCAGCCCCCCCGCGACCCTAGTGAGGATTAAGAGGTGTATAGATAATGGATGGATGGATGGATGATCTGTAAGGTAATAAAAAGAGAAATTCAGAACCCCACAGTAAAAACCTTTGATTCTAGTGCTTTAACAAAATGAAGCTAAAAAATGGCAGGATTTTATATATGTATGTATATATATATATATATATTGATATTAATATAGAATCATAGAAAACACTGGTAACCTGCACTGTACCTACTGCTCTCAGGTGCAAGACTAATTGGCTTGTTCATGTTTAGTAGATTAAAATTCAACACAGTTGCTACACAACAGCAGTGCTTTTGGATTTGAAACAATCGTTTGAGGTTGAAGAGGTTTTGTCGCCGCTTTTGTCTCGCAGGTGTTCAGTCCAGGAGAGTACGTCTGCAGGAAGGGGGACGTGGGACATGAGATGTACATCATCAAAGAGGGCAAACTGGCAGTCGTGGCAGATGATGGGGTGACAGAATTTGCTGTGCTGAGTGAAGGGAACTTCTTTGGGGAAATTAGTATACTTAACATCAAAGGTAGGTTGAGAGCATTGAACATGTTCTGACAACATTTATTAATTCATGTAGGTGGTGAATAAAGTCATAGGAAAGAAGTAGGCTGGGTATTTTTGAGTAAATAGACTGAACAGCTGCTGTTAAGTAGATTTCAATTTAACTAACACAAACAAAAGTGGGGTTAGTATACTTAGCAATGGGAAAAAGTCGACTACTAAACAATCATAGATATTTCAAGGGGACAAGCATTGTTCAGCAAAGAGAAGAGACATCTTACTGGTGCTTGTGGAAATCTACAAAAGGTAAATGCACAAAAAGCAAATGTCCATCAGGGTTATTTATTACAGCAAACCAAACGTGTGCACACAGGACTTGTGCCTTCATAAGACAAGAACCAAGGACATACAGTTACATTCAATCTTATAGGGGAGTTTGTCTTTCATGCTCCTCCTAGCAGAGGGAAAGGAGGTGGGGGTCAGTCTCTCATGGTTTTGTCTGACTGTTCCGCTAATGAAGCCCCCACAGAATTATTTGTGTGGCCTTCAATAGACAAGATAAGGCACTGCGAGGCCTCGGGGCCAAGCTGGCCTCCTTATCACAAACAAGAGCGAACCTTCACATGAGCGAGCACACAGTGAATGTATGAAATATGCAAAAGAATAACATACCTAGCGTCAGCAGGGGAATACGGTACAGCCAACTAATTATAGAATTTCAATCACGCAAGGATTAAAGAACCAGGTGTGGTAGTATTTTTAAAGAATGGAACATTTGTGAGGTTGTAGTTAAGTTTAAATTTAGGGTGAGTCCTGGAAACTGTACTCAGAGTCACAGGGAAAGCCTTGTAGTGTTAGAGTGCATGCTTTGAAATAGTAGAGCTGTTAGCATATATATATATTTTTTAAAACTGTTTAGTGCTATGTGGCAAAAAGCTGTGCAAATTTTTGTGATGCAAACACTGTAACAATTGTCTTTTAAAATGACAATAATTAGTAAAAATACAATCAATGTATAATACTGGCAGCTGTGGTCGCCAGTATTTTGCTGTGTTTTTCTGTTTATTTGTTTATTTATTTTTACAGTGTTATAATTCTAATTTACTGAAAAATGTAATTACTGTATAATTAATTCTAGTAGTTCACAGCAGAGCATGAAGTTTAATACTGTGACTAGACTTTATAATAATAATGTACTGTGTTTATATTGTGTTACCACTGTGATTAGCATTTACTGAGACATTACTTTTGTGTCTCGTTTTTGTCAAGTTGCGCCTCCTTTCAGCTTTTAGCATGTTGTCTCATTTGTGTGTCACTTTTGTCTTTTGTGTCTCGTATGTGTCGCTTTAGGTTTCGTTTTTCTTTTGTATCTCGCTTGTATAGTGTTTTTCTAGATACTTGTGTCTTGTTTATGTAGTTTTATGTCTCATTTTGTGTCTCATTTGTCTCATCTTATGTCTTGTTTGTGTGTTTTTTATGTGATGTGTGTGTGCAAGACTTTGTGTCACTGATAGTGTTGCCTCATATCTGTCATTTTGTTTCTCGTTTTAATCATGTAGTCTCATTCGCGTTGTCTTGTTTTGTGTCTCATTTTTGTCATTTCTGTTGTTCTGTGTCTCATTTATGTTGCTTTGTGACCCTTTTTGTCGTTTGTGTTGTTTTTGTTTCTTTTTTTATATTTCACTTGTGTAGTTTTTTCTTAATTTTTGCCATGCATTGTTTCATTTTCCATCTCCCTTGTGCCCTTTTTACATCGTATTTGTACTGTTTTGTGTCTTGTTTGTGTCCTTTTGTGTGTTGTTGGAGTTGCTTTGTGTCTCATTTTTCTTTTTTGTCTCATTTGTGACATTTTGTTTGTGTCTCTGTGGTAGTCTTGCCTCATGTCTATCATTTTGTGTCTCATTTTTGTTGTACTGTGTTAATTTTTTTGTTCAGTTAGACATCAGTTTTTACAGAAGCCTGCTGTTAATGGTCATTCTTATTTCTGACTTCAACAAAGCATCAGATTTTCTTTTTTTTTTTTGACTGTATTTCAAAAAAACAAGAAGAAAACAGCGTACTACTGTTAGTACTACTGTTGTACTACTTAGGCTATATTTTTACAGTCATTTATCATAGTGCAGATTTCATTAGTGAGTCGCTGCAATTCCAACTCTATGTGCTTGATATGCTTCAAGTTAATTAGCTCATTCAATAAATCATGAACTATTAAATAGTACAGTTCTGGAGTTGTTATTTAGTCTTTCTAGAAAGTTGAGTTACAAAGAATTCCATTGATATATATATATATATATATATATATATGACAACACACTGATCACAAAGTCTGCCTTCAGTTGGTGGATTTTTAACTGCAGTCAACTAGCAAGATTTTTTAAAACCATTGAAAAGAGGTTAATAAATACAAAAATGGGACAATAAGATGTTAAACTAATAACAGCAGGCACAAAATTAACATTTCTCATTGTGCACAAACCCCACAGAGTAACCAAAAGCAGCAAGGCATCGATGCAATAATAAAATATCATTCATTGTTCATTATACAGCCACCAAGCACAAACTATATTGGAAAATGCTGCTTATAACCATATTATTTACACATTATCCTGCATTAAACAAAAAATATAAATAAAGAACATTTAAATTGTACTCCAAACACATAAACCATGCCGCACACAATTGAGAGACACTAAAATATTCATTTCTTTTGACTTTCTTAAGAATATTTCCTCCAATGGGCTTGGCTTGAATAGTAAAACACTGGTTGGTAACATCATATCCTTGATATTTTTTGGGAGTTTTTTTTTGTGGGAAAAATAATCACACAATGTTTTCTTGTAGGCAACAAGTCAGGCAACCGTCGCACTGCCAACATCCGGAGCATCGGCTACTCCGACCTGTTCAGCTTGTCCAAAGAAGACCTGACTGATGTGCTGTCTGAGTTCCCTGCAGCCAAACGTCACCTGGAGGAGAAGGGCAGGCAGATCCTCACCAAGATGGGCATGTTGGAGGAGAGCGGGGAGGCCGCAGAGGGGGAGGCAGAGAAAGTGGAAACCAAGATAAAAAGGCTGGAGAGCAATCTGGAAGTCCTGCAGACAAAACTGGCTCGACTTATGGTGGAGTTTGAGTCGAGTAATCGCAAGATGCGGGCCAGAGTGGAGCAGCTGGAGCTGGAGGTCGCAGCGCTGGAGACTCAGCTGCCGGAAGACGGCGATGAAGGAGATGGAGCTCTGGGAAGAGAGGAGGGAGTGGGAGGGGAGGTGGAATGGGAGAGGGAAGAGGCAGAGGGAGAGGAAGAAGAAGAGGAAGGTTTGAATATAAAGGTGAAAAAACAGGGACGGGGAGAAGATGGAAACGATGTGCCCAAAGAGGGAGACGGTGAGAGCACTAAAAGTACAAAGGAAGACGCCGAAAGGATAGTGGAGAGAGATAAATCCGGGCTGAAGGGCACAGATAATTGGGAAAAGAAGAAAAAAGATGATGGAGAGACAAACAGAGAGAGAGGGGATGACAGACCTGGGAAAGGAGATGGAGCTGAGATTGAACTTGAAAATGGGAAGAAAGAAAATAGTGAGAGTAGAGAATCTGAGGAGAAGAGACAAGAGGAAGAAGACTCCAATAAAAAGGAAATGGGAGAGAAAGATGAAAGGCAGAAAAAATAAATGGAAAACTGGAGATGAGAACGAGGTTTTAAAGAGCTGAGCATGTGTTTTACTTAAAGGCATTTGGCTGTTTTCTCTTAATAAAAATACTGAAAACCCTCAACAGTGACAGTTTCTGCAATGCAAATATTTTCCTCTAGATGGCAGCATTGTATCCACACTGTAAGTACATTTAAAGTCTAAAGCAGATCAAGGTGGCGTTTGAATGTTCTTTTGATTTGTTTACCCCCTTTATTCTTAACTTGATTAAAAAATAATCTCAGAGATTCTTGTGCTTGAAATCAATGCATTTAAATTTTTTTAAATTATTGTTTTGTTAAAGACGTGTTCATTTTAACACATTTAGTATTTTGTCTCTTCAGAATGAACTGAGAAAATGTTGCTGTTGATAGCAGATTACAATATTTTGATCAAAACACTAAATAGGCAATATTTTGTAGTGATACACAGCATTTAGTTGATAGTTCATTGTTGATATGCAACAGCACCGTGTTGCAACAGTGTTTTCATTGTAGTTTTAGCCATCTGTACATGGATATTAATAACTAGCAGGGACATTCTATGATATTCTATTAATTGCTTTTTTCATTTATATTATTTACTTCACTTCCAGGGGGTAAAACTAAAAATCAAACTATCTCTTATTTGCTGTTGGTCAGCAAGAAGATGCTCCCCATTTTAACAAGTGATAACCAAACCAAATGCAACAAAAGACTTTTGTAATATTTAACACCATCATACTTCATTATATAATGCTTCTCTACTTTTACTTAATTTCTGGACAAACACATAGATGCAGCATGCAAACAGTCCTTTTTCTGACTTAGAGGAAAAGTTAAAAATCTAATTTCAATTGTGACTGTTGTGGTTAGAAAAGGACAAAATTTAGCCAGTTGTGTTTTAAAAGTATTTGATCCATTCACCTGCTGACAAACTCTTGACTGTTAATCCACACCCAAGTCAGGTTTGCCTAGGACAATGATCAGATAGTGTGACCAGTACACAGACACTCCTTTGACCAGTTTGTTTTGTAAAAATGTTGGAGTTCAGGACCTAATAATACATAATGTAATGTGCAATTGTTACTTTTATATAAGTTCAAGGATCTGGAAATTTTCTCTGGTGCTGTAAACAACACAAAATGTCTAATTTTCAACTTTAAGTCACTGTCTAATGACTCACCTGTAGTTTTTCCTGATGTAAAAAGGGTGGCCCTCTAACGACACACCTATAGTTTTACCTTCTCAAAAAAGCACAAATTGTCCTTTTAATTACACACATATAGTTTTTACTTTCATAAAAAAAAACAAATGTTGTCTTTTTCATGATATAAAGTGGCAAGAAAAAGTATGTGAACCCTCTGAAATTTCCTAGTTTTCTGTATTAATTGTTCATAAAATGTGATCTGATCTACATCTAAGTCACAAGTATAGACAAACACAATGTGCTCAACATATTACCACACAAAAAAATATATTTCATGTGTTTATTGAGCCGGTTCGCGTCCCAGTGGGGGCACCGGAATCTTTCTGCGAGTTTGCATGTTCTCCCCGTGCAGTGTGGGTTCTCTCCGGGTTCTCCGGCTTCCTCCCACACGGTCCAAAAACATGTTGAGGTTAATTGGTGATTCTAAATTGTCTGTAGGTGTGAATGTGAGTGTACTTGGTTGTTTGTCTCTAAGTGTAGCCCTGTGATAGACTGGCGACCTGTCCAGGGTGTCCCCTGCCTTCGCCCTAAGTCGGCTGGGATAGGCTCCAGCCCCCCTCCACACAGTCCAAAAACATGTTGAGGTTAATTGGTGATTCTAAATTGTCCGTAGGTGTGAATGTGAGTGTACTTGGTTGTTTGTCTCTATGTGTGGCCCTGTGATAGATTGGCGACCTGTCCAGGGTGTTCCCTGCCTTCGCCCTAAGTCGGCTGGGATAGGCTCCAGCCCCCCCGTGACCCTAGTGAGGATTAAGCGGTGTATAGATAATGGATGGATGGATGTGTTTATTGAACAAATCCATTAAACAATCATAGCGCTGGTGGAAAAAGTAAGTGAACCCTTGGATTTAATAACTGGCCGAACCTCCTTTGGCAGCAATAACCTCAACTAAATGCTTCCTATAGTTGCTGATCAGACCTGCACACTGTTCAGAAGGAATTTTAGACCATTCTTCCAAACAGAACTGCTTCAGCTCAGTCATGTTTTTTGGATGTCTGCTGTGAACGGCTCTCTTCAGGTCATTCCACAGCATCTCTATTGGGTTGAGGTCTGGGCTCTGACTGGGCCACTCCAGAAGGTGGATTTTCTTTTTTTTGAAGTCATTCTGTTGTAGATTTACTTCTATGTTTAGGGTCATTGTCCTGCTGCATCACCCAACTTCTACTGAGCTTCAGCTGACAGACAGCCACCCTGACATTATCCTGTAGGATACCTTGATAAACTTGAGAAATCATTTTCCCTTCGATGATGGCAAGTGGTCCAGGCCTTGAGGCAGCAAAGCAGCCCCAAGTCATAATGCTCCCTCCACCGTACTTCACCGTTGGGATGATGTTCTCATGTTGAAATGCGGTGCCTTTTTACGCCATACATAGTGCTGCGTGTTCTTCCCACACAATTGACTTTTGTTTCATCAGTCCACAAAACATTTTCCCAGTAGCGTTGTGGAGTGTCAAGATGCTCTTTGGCAAACTTCAGGTGTGCAGTGATGTTTTTTCTGGAAAGCAGTGGCTTCCTCCGTGGTGTCCTGCCATGGAGCCCATGCCTGGTCAATCTTTTGTGTATGATAGACTCATGAACAGAGATGTTAACCAGTTCCAGTGATTCCTTCAAGTCTTTAGCTGTTGCTCTAGGATTTCTTTTTACCTCGCTGAGCATTCTGCGTTGTCCCCTTGGAGTCCATTTGGCTGGGCGTCCACTTCTAGGGAGAGTAGCCACAGTGCTGAATCGTCTCCATTTGTAGATAATTTGTCCAACTGTGGACTGGTGAATTCTTAATGTCTTTGAGATGACTTTGTAGCCACTTCCGGTCTTGTACAAATCAACAATTCTTGATCGTAGGTCTTCAGAGATCTCTTATGTGCGAGGCATGGTTCACATCAGCAGATGCTTCTTGTAGATAGCAAACTCAAAAAGTTTGAGTGCTTTTTATAGGTCACAGTAGCTCTACATCTTAGTCAAATCTTGTTTCATTGATTGGACTCCAGGTTTGCTAACACATGACTCCAATTAGCTCTTGCTGGAGTCGTTAGCCCAAGGATTCACTTACTTTTTCCACCAGCACTATGAGTGTTTAATGGATGTGTTCAATAAAGACACGAGATATTGTTTGTGTGGTGTTATGTTGAGCACATTGTGTTTGTCTATACTTGTGAGTTAGATGTAGATCAGATCACATTTTAGGAACAATTAATGCAGAAAACTAGGAAATGTCAGAGGGTTCACATACTTTTTCTTGCCACTGTACCTGTAGTTTTTACTTCTATAAAAAACACAAGTTGGCCCTTTAATTGCACATGTGTAGTTGTTGCTTCCATAGAAAAACACAAGTGGGCTCTTTAATGTTTCATCTGTCGTCTTTACCTCCATTAAAAGCCCCCCCCCCAGATAAAAACACAATTGGTCCTTAAATGACATAGCTGTTGTTTTTACT